TGCTTCAGAGAATGTTTTAAAAACAGAGGTGATGATCCAGAGGAACAGAAAAAGAGACAGACTACAACTTACATAAACTTGGAGTTAATGCTGAGGACATAGGAGAGAACTCATTTCAAAAACCCTGTATTATCACTGCTGCATAGATGACCATTAATGAGATGGAATAAGGTAAATGTTCAAAGCCTCTGTCACTCCCTGTCTACAAATGCGGTACAGCAACTATTAGGGTTATTAGAATCTTAAATCTTAAATATTCACATGGGCAAAGCAAGCTCAGATACTCTGATCTTGAGTAAGACCTAGCTAGGGAGCCTCTGTGGGTCCCCACAGTGGTTATTAAATTGGCATGAATTTAAAATGTTAGATATAATTAAGTATTTATTTCCTCTTTGAAAGCTTAATTATCTTTTTCGTGATTTTAGTTTGATAAACAAACAAAAACCCACTCACCCATTTTATGAAGTTAAAATCTGTTTATTCTAGCTGGGCATGGTTCATGGGCCTTTAATCCTATCACTCAGGGGGCAGAGCCCAGCGGATCTCTGTGAGTTCAAGGCCACCCTGGTCTACAGAGTGAGATCCATGGCAGGCACCAAAACTACATAGAGAAACTCTGTTTCAAAAAAAAAACCTATTCTACATATTGTTGGTGGTCTATGCCTATATCTGAGACAAGAGATTCCTTTATCAAGGGTCTTGAGGGATCCTGTATAGGAAGAACTTGTGTATTTAGTTATACGTGTGCTTTAATTGCACTTGATAATCCATTCTGTGAGTTGACTACTAGAAGTGATTTGAGTTCTAGTTTGTATTCTATCACAGTGCCTCTGGTCATTCACAGTATCTGGTATGTAGCTGGGATTTATATGCTACAATTTGGTGAACTGCATCCTCCTGTCTTTTCCTAACCTGCAAATCTGTTTCAAAAGCACACGCCTTTAATCCCAGCATTCGGAAGGCAGAGGCAGACAGATCTTTATGAGTTCAAGGCCAGCCTGGTCTAGACAGCGAGATCCAGGAAAGGCACAAAGCTACACAGAGAAACCCTGTCTCGAAAAAACAAAAAACAAACAAACAAAAAATATCCAGTGACTTTCACAAACATTTATTACCTCCATTATGTTCATAGTTCCTTTTTTGTTCATTTGATTTTCATCATTTTAATTTGATATTGTCCCTTCCAATTAATAGTTAGTTATGGTTTTGGTACTTAGTTTGTGTACTTATCTAGCATCAGGAGTAGGAAATTGTCTCGAGGGTTTTTCACATGATATCCATAACCTTAACCATTGAACTAAAAACTCTACTCATTATTTAGTTTCTCTGTGACCTGGTTACACATAAGAAGCACATGTTCCTGAAAATGCAAATGGTTTCCATCAACATAGGCACAATGAGAAGAAAGGTCAATTTGAAAACATACAACTTACTCATTCTATGCAGTACAGTCATATCCTATTTGATAATATAATGACAGTGTGTTGTCACAAAGGGATCTCGTTTATATTGACACTCATCAATTGATGTTTTTTCTGTATTGTTTTCTAATCAAATTCCAGGGGATATTTTTAAAGCGTTCTGTGAATTAGAGAGATTACATCATTGCTATAGATGTTTATTTACCTCAATATTATTTTTCTCCATTTTCATTCATGCCACTCACAGTCAGTGTTATCCTCACATTAGAGGGTCTGCTCAGCTGCACAGACCATCAGCCTCTATCATATATCATTGTCCATACTTTAGGTATTCATGAAAATGTCACTATACAAATTATTTTTGACAAATCATCAATGTTTTAGGTATAGATACATTTTTATTGATTGTTTTGGGCACAAAAAGTAGTGTCTAATATTATGACAGTTTCATGAATATCTAATATTATTTGTTTTTATTCTCTGTGTTGTTTGGAAGCCTTGAAATTCCTCCATGATTCCTACATGTTTTATTTTTTATATTTTACTTTTGTTTTTTGCTATTTTCTATGACTTGACTGTTTGCTCTTAACTCTTTCTCATCTGTTGTATATTTCCAGATTGATTTGCTTCTCATTTAATATTTCTCTACCTACCTTACTACTACATTTTGACTTATATCTTTACTGTAATTCATAATTTATACTTTTGTCTATTTTTGTTTAATATTCTCTTTTCAATTTTTTTTCAGTTACACTAATTATTTTTCTTTTTTGTTGATACCTGACTGTGTAGATGAACATTTAGCATATGTTCATGTTTGAACATGGAACACTTTATGATATGGGTTGTGTATGAAAGTTCTTGTTATTGTGTGTGGTTTTTTTTACACCAGTAAATCTCCATTGGAAGTATAAGCTTAACTGAGCCTCAAAATAAGAAAACCAAAAATGTAATTTTCATAATAACTTTTTTATCTGTTGTTGCAAAGACTTCTAGTATAGAAATGTTTATTTTAACTATATAAATATTGATTGATTTCAGCAGAAGTGGATATACAGATGAAGAAAGACATTAAAAATCTCAAAGGAAATGAGAGTATTCAGGCATATGTATGTATTGTTAAATTTGAATTTCCATTTATTATATATTTTTATAAACAATGTACACAGGCTAAATTAAGTCTTCTTCTAGAATGCATCATCATGAATAGCATTAAGATTAAACTTTTATTTTAAAACATTTAACTAGTTAGGAATATTGAATTTTCTCAGCTATTATCTACACTAACTCAGAGCTAAAAATTTCTCAGATATTTGTTCCTAATATTTTTTTCTTATTATCCCTTGTATGTCCCTTCATTTTCCCCCTTTATATTATAGAAACAGGGGTTGGGGCATTGGTGGCACATGCCTTTAATCCCACAAACGGAATATTCCTAAGCACGTGAACATATGAACAATGTGGCTCTGATGTCCTGTTGTTCTGCTCCTGATAGGCATCCAGACTTTTTATTTCACTGAAAAAAAAAAAACAGTAGATCAAATCAAAATAATAATCACTGGCATGAACTCAGTTTAGAGTATAGTAGATGTGATTCTAGTTAAAATACACTATGTAGGCATCTGACACTGAACTTGTAATTTGCAGAAAACTGTTAGAAGGACCTATTGTGGGAATAGAGTGATCTGAGCTTGTGTCTCAACAAAGCCATTCGATTCCTTTGAGACTGAATAGTCTTTCAGAAGTTCTTGCCAACAAAACAGACATAGAAGTCACAGCCAAGTTCTGCTTATTTCGTTACCCTTGACTCATTTTCCATATATGGAATATATAGGCACTATCAGGAAGTAAGGCAATGAGTATTACAGACGTGTCTATGCTTTGCTTTGATGAAAATAAGTAATCAGAAAACACATCTTAAGTGATTAAAACAAATAATTCTGAAGCTATAGCATTATTGAACACTACTGAAAATTATTCAATTTTTCTATTACAGTGAAAATCAGAAAAAGTGCAAATTTATATTTGGGATAAAAACCTTTCCTTCTGAAGAAAGACTTTGAAAGAACAGTGTCATAATGGGTAAAGTAAAGAGAAATAATATCTGTTTATCATATAAGTCTTTATAATCCTAGATGGATGAGGGAACATGCATTCAGAGAACCAAGCCTATTAGCAACATACTCAAAAACAGACTTCACCAGGAAAATAATGTGACTTCTTAATTTTAAACAGGTATGCTTTTTAATTATTTTATTATGAAGAAATTTTTTACTCATTTTGCATACCAACCACAGATCCCTCTCTCTTCCCTCCACTGCCCCCCAGCATTATCCCCCCAATCCATCCCCTATTCTCTCCTCTGACAAGATAAGGCCTGCCATGGGGAGTGAGCAGAGCCTGGTACATTCAGTTGAGGCAGGTCCAAGCCCCTCCCCCTGCATCTAACTAATGGAAACAGATACAGAGATCTACAGCTAAGCACCAGGCTGAGCTCCAGGAGTCGAATTGAAGAGAGAGAAGAGAGATTCTATGAGCAATGGGCATAAAGATCAACCAAACAAAACTAGTGGGAACTGTAGCTGGAGAGTTTTCTTTCTGGGTCCCGCCAAGCCCTGGCAGTCCCTTAACCCACTTATAAAATAAACATACAGAGGCTTATATTATTTAAACTGCTTGGCCATTAGCTCAGGTCTATCATTGTCTAGCTCTTACTCTTATATTCAGCCCATTTATATTAATCTAAACTTTGCCACATGGCTTGTGGCTTACTGGTACCTTACATCTTCCTTGTCCTGCAGGCAGTCTCCTCCTTCCCTTCCTATTCCCTTAATTCTCCTCTCTGTTAGTCCTGCCTATACTTCCTGTCTGACTACTGCCCAATCAGTGTTTTATTTATTAACATATTTGCCATAAAGAACATCCCACACCAGGGAACTCATGAACTTTAGACCCACAGCTGTGGAGCCTTCATGGGACTGGACTAGGCACCCTGCATAAAATGATATGCTTTTATAGTAAGAAATAAATTTATTTTACTGCATCATGATTGTAAATCTTCATGGAACAAACCCACTGCTGATATCTGTTTTACTAGGATACCATGATAGATCTTCACTTACCAGCACAACTAACTTCAATCCCCAGGCATCTTCTATTTGAAGGACGAAAAGTTAAAGATTATGTCATCAGCAAGTCATTTCAAAGACTTTTTATTAAAATTGGGGGAGTAACATATTTTACAAGAACAAAAAGTTGCATATAAAATGTTTAGTTAGTAAGGAATATAACTTATTAGGTTGTAATACACTATTAATCTTGTGAGTTTCCATTAAATTTTAAGTTGAGAGTATCATGATGAAAGCTCAAATGTAACTACATGATGGAGTGTTTGTTATCTGAGGAATTCCAAAGAATAAGCTAGTGATATGGAAACATGATTGAGAGGTAGGAAAAAGGTGTTATAATTTTTGCCTTCATCAATTATAAAAAGACATGAAAGATTGGAGGACTGGGTCTTAGCATAGCTTCTTTCATTCATAACAGATTATAATAAATACCAATGTTAGCCAAATATACTCACAATTTAATATCACAAATAATGTTACTCCTTTCATGATACTGATATATAAGCCAAAATGAGAACATCAGGTAGAAGCAAGGGATAATAAACAATGTCATAAGCATTTTAATTTCCTGAGGTTCCATTTACTAAATGTTAGGGTAGAGCCTGAACTATTACAATCCTATTCAGAAAGCTCTCTCCTGTGTCAACGAGTTCAAGTATATTCCATACTTTCTCCTCTGTCAGATTCAGGGTATCACATCTTATATTGGGGTCTGTGATCCATTTGGAGTTGAGTTTTATGCAGGGTGAGACAAAAGAATCTCTTTTCATTCTTCAAAATAGAGCTATGAAATTTGACCAGCACCCCTTGTTGAAGATGCTGTCTCCTTTTCAATAGCTCATTGTCAAAAACATATGCATGTAGAAACATGGGCTCATACCTTGTTCCTCAATTCTATTTTATTGACCAATGACTTTGTTTTTAAACCAGTACCACATTGTTTTCAGTGCTATAGGTCTATAGCATAATTTGTAATCTAGAATACTGATACCTTTATACAATCATTTATTGTTCAGAATTGTTAGGGCTATCCAGATTGTCTTGTGCTTTTGTATAGAAATTACAATTAATTTTCTCAACCACTGTGAAAAATTGCATAGGAATTCTGATAAGGATTGCATTAAATATATAAAATACTCTCTTAGTAGCATGGCCATTTTCATAATATGAATCTTATCAAATCTTGAGCATGGGAGGAATTTTCATCTTCTGAAATCCTCTTCAGTTTCCTTTTTCACTGTCTTGGAGTTTTTATTGTGCCAGTTTTTCTCTTCAGTATATTATAAGACAATTTATTTTCTTTGAGGTAGCTGTGAATGGAATTGTTTTGCTTACTTCTTTCTTGGTATGCTTGTCATTGTGTAGAAAGGCTACTGATTTTTTATGTTAATTTTGTATTTTGATAATGTAATGGATTTATTTATATGTTGTAGGAGGTTTCTAGTGGAGTCTTTTGGGTTTTATGTATAGAATTGTATCATCTGTAAATAAAGATATTTTGATATTGGCCTATATTTGGGGGGGCAGGTGTGTCTCTCCTACTACTTTTGATATCTGGGTATAATAGGGACTTCATAAAAAGAATTTGAAAAGATTTTTTCATTTTCTATTTTGTGGAATGATTTGAGGAGTATTGGGTATTATTTTCATTGAAGTTCTGATAGAATTATTTGCTGAGACCATATGGTTCTGGACTTCTTACTGAGAGATTTTAAATTAATGTTTTATCTCATTTCATATTATTAGTCTATTTAAACTGTTAATTTCATCTTTATTTAGCTTTAGTAGGCCACATATATTCATCTGTTTATTTTAGGTTTTTTCAGTTTGGTAGATTTTAAAGTATGTTGTGATTATCTGAATTTTCCAGATGTCTGATGTAATGTTTGCCCTTTTGTTTCTATTTTCATTAAATTTGAATCTTCTCCCTTTACTTTGTTTAATTTGGCTAAAAGTTTGTCAATCTGTTTTTTCTTTTCAAAAGAACCAACTAATTCTTTTGTATTTTATAATTTCTGTTTTGTAAATTTCAAACCTTATTTTGATTATGTCTTTTCATTTTCCTTTTTGAGTGTTGCTTGATATCATTTTCCCTAGGCTTCTGGATACATCATTAATTTATTAAATTCAGATCCCTTGAATATCTGCATGTCCTCTTAGTATAGCCATTGTGCCTTATAGATTTTTTTATGATGTGTATTAATATTCATTCACTTCTAAGAATTTTAAACTTTATTCTTGAATTTAATTAACTATGTTTAGTGGGATCATAACCTTGGAATCATTTAGTCAAATACATGGTCTTATTTTACATGAATAATATGTATACTTATGACACAGCTTGGCTACAGCACAAGTAATATGATAATTGACCATATTTCCAAACTCCAGTATTCTTTCCCCCAGAGAAATCCTACATTAATTTACCAGTTTAGTTCTATATGGAATTCTGTCTTATTTAGGGATATTAGCACATAATTGAATTTATGTCTTTTTAAGTTTTTGTAAGCAATACTCTAAGTGGGAGGTAATGTGGAATGAACATCTGAACTTTTTGTGATCCAAGTCACTGATGTACTTGCTAACTATATTTTCTGTATATGTGCAGTAGAAGGTTAAGCTCAATTGAGCACTAAAGTTAGAAAGACAAACATTCTTTTCCATAAAAATAAATTTTAAGCTTTATTTTTGGATATAAAGACTTCTTTCCAATGCTATTCTTCATTTTTTTTTCTGTTTCTTTTTTTTCAAATTCATAAACAATCAACAGAGGCCGAATTACAAAAGAAATCAGTGAAAAGTCAAAACTATCTTGGGAACAATGAAAATACTCAACTATCTGTAAGTCAATGTTAAATTTGAGTTGCTACTTAGATATTTTCTTTTGTGAAATAATTTATCATAGGCTCAATGAAGTTTTCTTAT